TCCGCCGCCTTCTGCAGCTGCGCCCCCCCCCGCCCGAGCTTGCTACAATGTAGCCGGGGCAGCTGGGCTGTGCTGCGGAACCGGCAGGTCGTGCTGGGGCTGGGCGGACCCTGGCTTATGCCTCCCTATTTCCCCGGGTTTTTGAAAACTCCCACCGGATGGGGATTTGAGGACCAAAAAGCCGGACATGTCCGGGGAAATCCGGACATATGGTAACCCTAGTGGAGGAGTCAGAGGGTGGGATATTTCCAGGGAATGCCTTACTGCTAAATGATGAACTAGTAATTGGCTGAGCTCTCAAGGGTTAACTCTCACACTCTGCTGTACAAGGCAGCAGGAAAGGAGGGAGGGCAGACAGAGACACACAACCTGTGTGTGTGTGCAAGAGAGAGATGCGCATTTCCCCTTTAAGTATGAAGGGTGGGGTCAGAAGTACACTGCCTTGTTAATTAGCTCAGCAAGCTGAGACCCACCGCAGCTGCTGCTGCCTGGAAGCTCCCTCTGTTGTGTGTCCACCCTGCTCTATGGAGATGGGGTAAGCGGGGTGCAGGAGCAGGGGGAAGGGGGACACCCTGACATTAGCCCCCCTTTTCCTCCCTCCCCTCCTCCAGCAAGCAGGAGTCTCAGGGAGCAGTTCCAAGGCAGAGGACAGGAGCAGCACATGGCAGTGGGGGGAGGGACAGCTGCAATTGCTAGCCTGCTGGGCAGCTGCTGCACTGGGAACTTAGGGGAGTGGGGAGCTGATGGGGGGCGGGGGCTGCTGGTTCACCCTGGTTCCAAGCCCCCACCAGCTAGCTCCACCGGGCTGCTCTTCCTGCAAGCAGTGGACAAAGCAGGCGGCTGCCAAATGACATTAGAAGGGAGCATTGCGCAACTTTAAACGAGCATGTTCCCTAATTGATCAGCAATGTAACAATGAAACAACGTTAACTGGGATGACTTTAAGTGAGGAGTTACTGTAGTACCTAACTCTGCAAGTGATTTCACTTCAACCAATAGGACTATTGCATAGTAAGGTATTGCTCAATGTGAGTAAGGGTGGAAGAACTGGGCAATCTGAGGGTCCATTTTATGATATGGACCCTTTTCCACAAGGAAATGAACTGAGATGTTCAACTCAAACTCATTCATTTACTTGTTAAAACTACTATATTTTGCTTACAAGATCTGTGTATGCTCTCTACCAGCTCAATCTTTTTTCACTTCTATAGTCTCTTTTAACATGAGAATCTCAAAACATTTTGTGAACATTATTTAGGTTTCATGACAATCCTGTGAGGCACTATCTCCCTTACTTACAAATTTCAAAACTGAGGCACAGTGGAAGCAAGTCACTTACCCTAGGTCAGACAGTAAATAGGTGGCATAGCAAGGAACAAAACCCTCTTCCCCACTGACTCCTAGTCCCAGGCTCCAGTCACTATACAACAACCTCTCCATTAAAATGTTCCCACATATTAACTGATCTATGGTAAATGAGCAAAAGTGAAAATTTGACTGACTTCATCAGAGAATCTTAACATTTGCAAGCTGTGTCTGTGTGGTCTCAGAGGAGCATGTTTCACACTGAATAGCCAAATTACCTTTTGCAATTATGATTCACAGAAAAAAAGCAGAGGAGACTTGAGATACACTTTCATTTGGTCTCAGCTGCCACTAAGATCTTCACCAATGTAAAAAGCATCCATCTTTTCAAGTCATGGCAATTTAAAGACGCATATGACTTTTACTAGAAAATACAAAGAATTGGCATGCATCACACCATAGAACAGACATCATATCCTATTGTACAAGATATCTTGGAATGGCAATTAAGTTCCTTATAGCTAGGCAAGTTTTGGTTGCCCATAATTCAAGGCTCAGTTACATTGTCTGCTACACCACAGTTTTTATTAATGCTAGCTCTAATTTCTGTTTTCGCTATCTATTACAAAATCACCCAGACAGCTAATTAAAGACAAAGAATTTTGATTAAATTCCTTGCTTAGAGCCTAATTCTTTCCTCAGATACACAAGCACAACACCCACTGAAGTCAATGGGTGTTTATGTGTTTGTTTGAGAACAGGATTGGGCTAATATGAGTTTTTTTGCATTTATGCTGACACAGAGCACTTCCAGATTGGATGAACGTATATTAAGCCATGCAAACATTAAGCTATATTGGCCAGATTCTCATCTAGAAAGACTGGTGTAACTCTATTCCATTCAGTGGCATTACTCTTGATTTACATCAGTCTTGCTGAGATGGGAATCTGGCCTTATGCCCATAGATTTCCAACCATTATAATGAGAATACTGTATTAAGGCTGTATTGATTTTGGCCCGTGAAATACATAGAAAATTCTTCTCTTTTTGGCAGAGTCATATAATCAAATTCCATAGAAATCGGTGTTGTGTTAAATGGATTTTTTTCTTTTTCATCCCGATAAATCAAGTACATTTCATAAATTACCAATAATCTGCACATTATGCAGTAGGCTTGTGCAATTTCACAATTGCAACCATGGCCTTCACCCAACATCAGAAACAAAAATTACAAAGCATTTGGTAATGTATACATAAATACAAAATGTTTGGTAACATGTGGCAAAAGGAATGACAGCAATGTGCCCCCAGATCACTAGTGCAAGCAACAACAAAAAAGACAAGAGCATCATTTATGAATTCTGATTTAAATACAGGGCCAATTTGGGTAGCTCCATTGAAGTCAATAGTCAATGGAGCTGTACTGATTGACTCCAGCTGAAGACCTATCTCATCTTAAGTGTTTTTAAAAGAAATGGATTGATTTCCTACTGGACATTAATTAGGTCTGTGACCATCAGCAAAATGCTGCTCTGAAAGATGTTTAATTTAATAAATAAATAATAATATAATGTGCACTGCTATCGCATCTTTCAAACAAAAACCTCACAGCACTTCACAAACATTAATGAATTGAGGCTTGTAATATTCCTCCGAAGTGGGTAATTGCAGTATTATTCCAATTTTACAGATGGGTAAACAGAGGTACGGAGGGATTAAAGGCTCAGTTCTACCCTCAGTTACAATGATTGTGAATAAGAGCTGCCCCACTATAATTAAAGGCTGAATTTGGGCCTATGTATTCAAGGGTTGTTTGAAGTCATACAGCAATTCAGCAGCAGTGCCAGAAACAGGATCCAGAATTCCTGACTCCCAATCCTATGCTTTAGCCACTAGACAAAGTATTCAAAGTCATAACACACGTGACAAAAACTAGAACTTATAGAGATCTTATTTAATGGAGAGTCACAACTTCCATACCTCCAGCTCAGGTTGCCAACTTGCCCTGCCCCGCCCCTTCCCCGAGGCCCTGCCCCATCTCTGAGGCCCCCCCCCCGCTCACTCCATCCCCCCCCCCTCGCTCGCTTTCCCCCACCCTCACTCACTTTCACCGGGCCGCGGCAGGGGGTTGGGGTGAGGGGAGGGAGGTGCGGGCTCTGAGCTGGAGGGTGGGCCCGCGGGTTTCAGAATGTGGGAGAGGGCTCTGGGCTGAGACTGGGTCAGGGGGTTGGGGTACAGGAGAAGGTGTGGGGTGCAGGAGGGGAGGGAGTTTGGGTGTGGGAGGGGGCCCAGGGCTGGGGCAGGGGGTTGAGGCGTGGGAGTGGTGAAGGATGCGGGCTCCAGCCAGGCAGTGCTTACTTCAGGCAGCTCCTGGAAGCAACTGGCATGTCTGGCTCCTTGGCTCAGGGGTGGCCAGGCGGCTCTGTGCGCTGCCTCTGCCTGCAGGCACTGTCCCCGCAGCTCCCATTGGCCGTGGTTCCCAGCCAATGGGAGCTGCGGAGTCGGCACACAGGGCAAGGGAAGCACAGAGAGACCCCCCTGGCCACCCCTGTGCCTAGGAGCCAGAGGGACTTGCCAGTCACTTCCGGGAGCCACGTGGAGCCAGGGAAGGTAGGGAGCCTGCCTTTGCCCCATTGTGCTGCCAACCGGACTTTTAGCAGCCTATTAAAATCTCCTGGATTGGTTTCAGTAGTCACTGGGAGATCGATTCCGATTCCGGGAGACTCCTGGCCAATCCAGGAGGGTTGGCAACCCTACCTCCAGCCAGCCTGCTTTGAAGAGTTGACACTACAGATTCCCCACACCAAGAACTCACTGAATTTAAGCTTAAGAAACTATACTGAACTATAGAAAAATACCTTTCTAATGTTGAGATACACCAGTACTAAGGCCACTGTTATTCCCTTGTTGTTATTATTATCAATATTACAGTATGACCTAGCAAACTCAACTGAGACCAGGGCAATGTGCTAGGTGCTTACATACACAGAGTAAGAGACAGTCCCTGGCCCAAATTGCATATAATCTAAATACACAAGTCACAACAGTCATTGGAGTAGGGGACTAAACACCAGGTCTCCCATCTCACAGGTGGGTGCTCTAACCATTAGGCTACAGAGTCATACTCACTCTCTTTAGCCCAATGACTCTTTAAGTATTTATACACAATGGAAGAGCATCAACAGGCAACATTAAGACCCATTTAAGTCCTCAAAGTAGGACTTTGTACTGTCCCCCCCGCCTCCCTGCACAGGGGTGAATTTACCCCTAATCTCTGGGATACATGCTTTTATTTATACACAGCCAAAAGAAAAAAGGAATATCATTGCATCTCAATTAATGACCTCAGGGTCCAAGATGATGGAGATAGAGGGCCTGATCCTCCACTGTGTAACATGTGTTTTCCACTTGCCTTCAATGGCTAGTGTAATGGAGCAGAGAATCAGGCCCACAGTGCCATTTATTAACCATACGCTATTAAATATTCCACTTAGCAAAGAATAGCATGCACACATAGATATTGTAGTTGGAGCTACCCAGTCAAGAGTGATGCCTTCAGGAAACTACACAGAAAAATATTAAAAGGCCAAGAAGGGGCAAGGGAAGGGGAAAAAATATGATCATGAAATCTGAAATGACAAACGGCTCCCGAAGTGCAAAGCCGTCTGGACAGAACATTCAGAACACGCCTCACCTGTGTAGTGTACCACGCACGTCTGACCCTTCTTTGGAAATGTCCTTCCTGTTAAAAATAGAAAAATATATTTTTAATAAGTCTTTGATTAACCATCCTGTGTGGGAAAGTTTCGCTTTTAGGAGAGGTTGGCTCAGGAGGTTAGACTGCGTTAGGGCTGCTTTGCATCTGGGTGTCATTTTATCTTAGTCACCAATATTCAGGATGGGAGTGAAATGGTTTAGGATAAAAGGTCCCCTATTTAGTTTAGGAAGACGTGTTTTCTTATATTAATGTGGTTTCTCCTTTCTGTCAAGTCTAATATCTTTTCTTACTAGCTTTAACATCTGATTTGTCCTCTGACAGCAGACTACATCCTATAAATGCAAGGGATGGCCTTTGGAAAGACATAATGAATTATAATTAAGGCTGCAATTCTTTCACGGAGGTTGGGGAAGTCACGGATTCCATGACTTTCCACGACCTCCATGACTTCCGCAGTGGCTAGTGCAGCTGACTTCAGGGCTGCCCGAGCAGCTGGCTCCTGGGACAGCTTCTCAGGTGCCCCACAGCCAGCCACACCGGCCGCTGCTGGAGCGACCCGGGACCAGCTGCTCTGGTGGTCCCTGGGGCCAGCCACACCGGCCACTGCTCAGGAAACCCTGGGCATCTGGCTCTGGGGACCGCCCAAGCAGCGGCCGTTGCGGCTGGTCCCACAGACCGCCCGAGGAGCAGTCAACGCCCAGCACTGGTGTAGGGCCCTTCCCTAGCAGGGCCCCCCCAGAGCAGCGGGGCCCCAGAAGTAGAGATTTAGTTTGGGGTATTTTTGGTAAAAGTCATGGACAGGCCAGCCTGTGAATTTTTATTTATTGCCCGTGACCTGTCCATGACTTTTACCAAAAATACCCGTGAATAAATCTTAGCCTTAATTATAATAATCTTTAACTTCACTGAACCTATATTTTGCTATTGTTCACAAATGAATAAGATTACATTATGAAGATGTGGTAAAGTAATATGTTCGTATTCATAATTCCAATACCTTTTACTTAAGTCTACTTTAATAAGAACACATATAATTAGCAAGCGGCGATGGTTTTTAAAAAAAATTCTATCTCATACACTGCAAAAGCATTTTCAGATCTGCAGTCACATGAGATAGTAAAGAAGTGATGGGTGAAGAGAGATCTTGTTAGCCCTTTGTTAATATTTTGACACCAAGGGCAAGAGGTCTGAATGATTTGCCTGCCACTGATAAGAGTTACCCCCTCCATCCTCCCACTCTATATATTGCTAAAATACAGCAACAAGGCAATTTTTCAGGATGCACCCAAAACCCTCCTCATAATGGCACCATTGATTTGTGTATCTGAACTGGCAGACAGAGGCCCCAGATTCAACAGAACTTTGATCCATGATCCATCAGAAGGCCCCACCACTGCAGAACAGCAGGGTCAGGAAACCATAAATTGGGGATTCAGGTAGGAGCATGAGCTGATCCTGCCTGCCTTCTGTTGCCTCTTCTCACTGAATGTAGTGTGCTAATGTGTTGTGCATTATACAGGCTATGAGCTGAGATACCCAATAATGCATAACAAGGTAGTGCACCAAAGCCAAACACCGTGAACAGCAAATGGCAGGAGGACAAAGCCTACGATAGGCAAAGCATTGAGACAGGTAGGTTCACCAGAGAATCACAATACAAAATGGTAGTGGTGGTGCTCGTTACAACCTATTGTCTGGCCTATTTAGATTGGTAGATTACTCCTGGGGGAATCCTGCACCAAAAAAATTAAAAATTCTATACCAAAAGATATAAAAATTATGTGCACAATATTTTAAAATTCTGCAAAATTCTGAATATTTTATTGTCAAAATAACACAGTATAATCACACCATTTGCGATTATTTGGATAATTTCTTTCAAAATACCTGTCAGCAAGCATGTCTGTAACAATACAGACAACAAAAAAGATTCAGGAAATGTTTTTTTGACAAATAGATTCCTTACTGGGCATATTAGCACATCTATACGGCTCCACAGCGAGCGAGATGGGCAGAGTCTCACACGCACACCCAGCCTTCTCTCCTGATCCAGGTGTGGGGCAAGCAAACTCAGCCCAGCAGGATCCAAGTGTGGAGGGGCTTACTGTGGGGGCGATCCAGGTGTGGGGTGAAAGGGTCCTGCGTGCGGCAATCTGGGTGCTGATAGCTACAAAGTTTTCCCATAGCAGGAACTCCAGATAGGTAGTCACATTTTGAGGAAGGATGCATTTTCCAGGGTCAGCTCCGTAGCTGACAAGCCACTCCCCTCATAGATGTGCTGTTCAGTCACCGTAAGTTTGCATATTTCAGCAGCATACATGCTGAGGACAGAATTGCAGCAAGGGAGCAGACACTTGCATTTCAGTCCCAGGAACAAGAACATTGGCTGAAGGAGGATGTCAGAGCACAGCAGAAAAACCTGTTTGAGTGGCTGCTTTCGCTAATGGCCAGAAGATTGCAGGCTCCTGCTGTGCCCACTCCAGGGCGTGAGTCCAGTCTACAGTACCAGGAGCTGCATACCAGGAGCACTTTGGACAATTCCATGGTTGGGTGGTGTTGGTTTATGACTGTTGTTTTGGTATGCAGGCCTGCCTGGCAATGCTCTAATATTGTTATTTTTATAATACAAATATAGGCTTGTATTTTATTAGGAAAGTTTATTGCGCTCACTACATCACATCTTATAATGTGTATTTTGAATAATAAAGATAAACACAGGGTAAGGCAAAAGTTGCATCCAAACAATTTCTCCATACAGCTATGTACAGCAATCAATAGTAAATGCACTGCTCCCCCACACGCATTACATTAACAGTCATGTCGTCCGAAATAAAAATTCATGACAATCAATACCTCCCCCATTCACTGTGTACAGTGACCGTGCACCCTTTCATTGAATGGTGTGATAGTGCCTCATTTACTGTAAACATTGCTGTACAAAGACATTCATAAATGTACTATTCTCCCTCTTCCATTGGTCCATGCAAGTCCATAATGTGGGATCACAGAGCATCCCCTGATTTCCGTTGCCTGTTCCAGCTGTGAGATCAGTGCACTTTCTGGTTGAGTGTACTGGTTCAGCAGTCCATTACCGTCATAGGTCCATTCAGGGGCAAATGGCTCCCCTTTGACCTCACAAAGACTGTGAAGAGCCCAGCAAGGCACAATAAATCAGACATCACTGATGACACTGGAATCCAAATGGGTCTGTAGACCATGCCAGCAGGATTCCAAGCTGCCGAACACATATTCAACCACCATTCTACACCTTCGGAGAGTGTAATTAAACTTTCTTTTGCCAGGCCCTCTGAAATCAGTATATGGTTTCATAGGCCAGGGCAAAAAGGGGGTATGCGGGGTTTCCCCAGAATAGCAGTGGGGGACAGTAACTCCATTTATGACAATGTCATTTGGTGGGAATAGTGTTCCAGTCTGTCCATGAAGGTAGACTATCGACCAGTGGAAAACCCTTCACATCAAGTGGGAAGCTCGCTGCACTAACGCCAGCATCCTCACTGTAGCCAATGTCACCAGCATTGAAGGAATGATCCTTATGCACCAACTCCGCTGGGTTGGACATTGTGTGTGGATGCCAGATTCTCGCCTGCCAAAACAAGCCCTCTACTCTCAGCTGACCTACAGTCAGAGATCATTACAAAGACATATTAAAACTGTATCTCAAGAAAACTGATGTGGACATCACAAGCTGGGAGGAGCAAACCACCAACCAACCCCAATGGTGCCACATCAGGCAGTGGCCCACTTCGAGAAGGAGCACCTTGCCCTCAAAGCTGAAAAGAGGGAGAGAAGGAAAGAAAAAGAAAGAACTGTCTCCCAGCAGGCAGTGGCCCGACAGGAAATGTCTGCACCTACTGTGGGTGGATCTGTCGTTCCAGGATCGGACTCCAGAGTCATCTCAGGACCCACATGTACATCCGTGGTAGCAATCATCCTCGAATCGAGGGATCGCCACCACAGCTGCTGCCGATTGTTTATGCCCATCACCTTTGGGTAAATCACAGGCCTGACTGCCTCAAAAACTTCTGCCTCCACTTTACCCAGAGTTGACTTTCCAACACCAAACAGTTCGCAACAGACCTGTAGCAGTCTGGGGTAGCCAGCTTCCAGATAGCTATAACAACCTACTTCAGGTCCAATATGGCCGCCCTCATGAGTATGTTGAGATGTTGGAGGATCAGGGCAAGCTGCTCACAAAACACCAGAAATGTAGCTTTCTTCATGGAAAAGTTCTGGACCCACTGCTGATCATCCCAGGTCTGCATGACGATGTGATCCTACCAATTTGTGCTTGTGGCCCTGCTCCATAAGCACTGGTCTACGTAGAGGGCATTAGCAGCTATACCAAAAGTCATGAGAAGCATCAGCCAGTTCGAGTTTTCCATGTCTGTATCCTCCTCCTCCTCCTCCATCATTAGCTCTGGCAGATGCCTTCAGTGGGTCAGAAAAGGCCACCAAAATGTCCACCAGCATCTCATGAAACCTCTGCCCATTTCCTGAAACAGGAGCAAAAGCCCAAGCAAGAAAAGTTCTTCAAATGATGACTCCATGTTTCTGGTTCTGAGTGTTGGGAGCGTGCAGCCCAAAAGGACAGCTCAGCAGAATGTGTTGGTGGGCTGCAACAACTTCCTGTGATGTGCAGGGTGAACAGTGAAGTTTTCCCACGCTGCACCACAAAGGGCTAGAGAGTGTGCTAGGTAGTCTGGGATGTGATTGGTTGGACTCGGGGATATAGGTAATCTGGGATATGATTGGAGCCCTGGTGTGGGGCCCAAGATCAAAAATTCTTAACCTAAAGTCACCAATGAGTGTGGATGCTCAAACCCTGAGCTTTTAAAGCCAGGGTCCGTGAATTCGAGTCCCACTAACCCTTGACTTACATTGCAGTGTAAATGTACTCTACCTGTCTGTACAAAGCCTAGCGCAATGGGGCCCCGATCGCAGTAGGCACTACTGTAATATCACAACTAATAACACCGCCAGGTACCATGCACCATTCAATGTAGATCAGAAAGAGTGTGATACAAGTGTTCAGTGGCCCATATTCCACCCTGGCATAACTTGGTGTAATGATGCATCTCCATTGGTACAGTATCTTATACCAAGCCTGAATTAGGCCCAAAGATGTTAAGATCATCAACGAGTCACTACAGCAAATTGACTTCTGAGTGGATCTGAAGGCAATAGTGCTTACTGGTTTTGGTTTTAATGACACTGTTTAAATCAACTGGATTGGATCAAGATTTGCAACCAGAAGAAATCACATTTATAACTTTATTTTGAAGAGCATCTTTCATACAAACCATATCCCAATACACTCTAGAGATGAATAATAAAATGACAAGGCTAAATTCTGCCCTTACTTACACTTGCAATAGAATAACAGTACGTACATCAATGGAGTTACTCTGAATTTACAGCACTGTAAATTGGAGCAGAATCTGGCCCACAGAGGTAAACAACAGTAGATGGAGAAAACAGTTAAAAGGCATAGGCAAGGGAGGAAATGATGTTGGGCCAACAGAGTTAAGCCGAGGATGAATTTGGCCTACAGATACGTATGGCTCTATATTAGTAATGACCAGAGATTCCAGAAATCCGTTTGCCATGGAAAAACATGGAAAAATGAGAAATTTGCATTTTTCCAGAGAATCTTTGGTTTTTACATTTTGTGAAAAGATAGAAACATGTATAGTAGAACCCTGATTATCCGATCTAATTGAGACTGGGGTCAGACCAGATAATCAGGAGAATGGGCACGGCTCTGGCTCTCTGCCCTGGGTGGCAGGGCTCTGTCTGACAGCTTAAAAACTGTAAATATATTTATAAAACATTGTGTTCAACTGATACCTATATATATTGTAGCTAGGGAAACTAAAGTTCAGCATTTCATTTTAATCATGGAAAAACGTGGATTTTTATGTTTTTATTAGAGAATTTTGGAGTTATTATCACAGAAAAATAGGGTTCCTGGTAATGACATTTATCTTCAAGAGTTATGGGATGATGTTCTAACACCAGATTGAAGCAGCCACTCTGAAAAAATGATCCCACAAAAACCAAAGATTAATACACTCTTTAATCTGGAGCCATTATAAAGTGTTATAGGAGCAATAATAGTATTTTAAGAGGGGAGAAAACAGCTAGTCCGGTCAAAATGCTGGTGCCATCTGAAGTGATTCTGACATAAATGGCCTATGGTTCATGAAAAGGTTTGGAAATAAATTTGGGAAGCTTTGTTACTGTGCACGTTAAGTGCCAACTTTCACCACAGCCACACACACTAATCGTTAATCATATATTATGTTGATTTCCATCTTCTACAGAAATTAACTGTCTTGCTGCTGCTACCCCAATAATGCCTGGTCCAGAGTGCGATTTGGAAGTGAACCTGCTTTCGCTGCTGACTGCTAAGGCTCACATTTTAAAGTGGGTGTGCACTGGACTATAATTTGCTCTCCTTACTAAATTACTTCACTGCACTTGGATTTATGCAGCTGTCAGCAAATGCCATTTAAATATCCCAAACCATTCACTGCCTCTGCCGTTGCCACCAAAGGAGCAGCAGACACTGCAGCCTACTCATCCCAGAGAATCTAGTCGGCTTTCCTTCTGTTCCTCTGATCCCAGAGACCTTCCCCCCAAACATCTGATCCCAGAACCCTCAGGCTTTTACCCTCCCTGATACTAGGGATGTCACCCACACCCCTTTCTACCCTGCAGTCTTTTATTTCTTCTTCAGATGTTGGACATCCCTAGGTTCCCCTTCATCTGGCCTCATATCATCTTTTGATGCCAGAGCCCCTGAGGCTGCAGTGATTCCAGATAACCCTTCCTGATTCTGGAGACCCTAGGCTCACTGTCTTCTCTAACGCTAGATCCCGCTCCTAATCCCAGAGACTCCTGAGCTTCTGATTCCATATCCCCACCCTCAGTGCAAGGCACCCTTGTACTTCTGCCCCCTCTGACCACATATCCATCCTTCCTCTTATCCACCTCCCACCCCCACTCCTGAAGCCAGAGACCCCTGGACTCCTTCCTCTTCTGATGCCAGAGTATCCCGGCAAGGAGCTCCCTCTGATCTCAGATTTCTCTCACTCTCTTGATGCAAGAGACCCCTGGGCTCCCTCTTCCTCCGAGCCGAGATTCCCCCTCCCCCTCCAGAAACCCTTCCTCTGCACTGTCCCTTGATCCCGGATCGCGCCCCCACGCCCGAGGCCAGGGGGCTCCCTCTCTTGTGATCAGAGTCACCACAGTACCACCTAAAAGCAAATCAGGAGAGAGACAGACCCTACCGTCTCCAGGGGAGATTGTCTCAATTTCCACTCCCATTATTGCACTGCTGGTCTGCGGCAACACAGAGCAATTCTTGCTGCTGCCTGGGTCTCCCTCTGCGTTCAGCTGGGCACTATCCTGCCTTCCCCACGCCACGGCTCAGCTGGACCCGCTGCTGAATGCATTCCCCTTCCTAGCTGACTGACAAGGAGCATCACAGCTGCCCATCACACGCTTCCAGCCAATGCAAAAGCTGGGATGGGTGGGGGCTGCCTACTCTGTCACCCAATCCCCCTTCCCAGCTGCACAGGAAAGGCAGGTCCCTCAGAGGGGCTGGGAGATGGGAGTGGGGGCAGGCCTCCCAGGCTGTAGTTGGCTGGGATTTGCTGCTGCATGAAGCATTTAAGGACTTAACACTTTAATACTATTCCTTTCCAGCAAGTACTTGCTCCTTCCTCACTCAACATATACTCCTTAAATAGCCCTGCAGAAGATGCCCCCCTCCCCCCTGTGCTGGGGAATAAGCTAGTGCTGTCTGCCTAGAAGAATGCGCTGCCTCTGCCAAATGCATCCTTCAAGGCAGATGTAGTCAGTTCAGTAGTCCCCAATCCAGTGGTACATGGCCCCAGTACACATTTTGGTGTCTGGTGCACTAGGCTCCCATTCTCTTCCTAATGATGAGCTTCTGTGGTGTGTCATAGTGTGTCACCAATGCCCACGGCTTCTAATTCACTTCTATGCCCTCTAACCGGCAGTGAAGCTTGCTTGTGGAATGTGCAAGCTGTTCCCAGTGGCTTTTGGAGCAGTCCAAGTTTCATTGCTGGTTACATCATAAGGAATCAAATCAGGAGGGAATAGTCACCAGGGATGAAAATGCCAAACTTGCAGATGTGGAGGGGGGTGGAGGTGGGGGCGGGGCAGGGCAGGGCATGGAATCTTTACTGCACCAAGGATAGATTGAAATGACAGTGATGTTTACCACTCATGCTCCAGTCTGGCATGATGTACGTGTGTGCATGTTTCCTTGTCTGTGGGGTGGGAGGGTGGGGGGCTGAAATATGCACTAAAATATATTTCAAATAATTTTTTAAAAACCTGTATTTACTGGTTAATTGTTCCCATAATGTTGGATTAAACGTTGTAAAAAGAGAGACACATATTTCAGATACTTGTGTCTGAAAAACTGTTTCCCCCACAAGAATCTGTACATGAATCTCAGTATTCCCATCAGCTCTTAGGGAATAATAATTTGCTGACAGTTCTCTTTCTTTGGTTCTGGAAAATGGTCTGATCATTTTTGTTTTTTAACTGGAAGAATTATCTGCATCAAGCCTGTACTGGTCTGACATTTTACACCTGTATTTGCACTTTTCTCTTAATCACTATATTTTTATGTAACTTAAAAACAGTCCCCTGAGTGACTATGTGAGTCATAGGGCTGTAGTTATTATTTCCGTAGGGATTCTGATATTTCTTTATAAGTATTAGGGTCATGGACTCTACTGCACCTGCCTTAGAACTTGCCATAATGTCAGTGGCAGCTGCTCAGGGGAATCAGCTCCCATTTGAATCCGACAGCCCTAAGATGGATCTGCATGTGGGGGCATCTCCTTCTCCAAGTGGCTCTTGCTTCAAAAGACAGCTACTCACATGCGAGAGGAAGAGGGCACTCTGTCACTCACGTCACCTCCGGAACTGGCTCCCACTGCCTAACCTGACTGGGAGTTGCATTAAAATACAGAGTACACCCTGAAAATGTCTCAGCTACTACAAAACACAGTGGCCCATTTGCTTAGCAGTGCAGATTGACAAGAACACATCATTTGGACTCTGTCCTTTGCACCGGGTCCTTATCTAGTAAGGTGCTCATGTGGTCTCCATCACAATAATATCTGGATGTCATTGAATAAAGAGTCCAGTTCATAGTCTTTGTCCTGATATTCAAAGCCTTTCATGGGACTGGGGTTGGTTACCTGAGAGATACACAGCCAGGACCTCCAGCAACAACTACTGGAGCCATGAAATTGTGGCCCAATATGTGAAAGCTCATGAGTAAAAGAGACAGAACTTTCACAAGTGCTGGACCTAGATTATGGAACTTACTTCGATGAGAGAGAAACATGACTAACCACTTTCAGAACTAAATAAACAACTCATTTCTCCTATTTAGCATTAACACAGTAATTTCTTAACTCATATACACACGCTCACATAGCCAAAACATGTTAATCATAGTCCTTTTCCTACAAGCTGGGCAGTGAAAAAGGAGTGGAGGTGGACGAATGACCTTAGAGTTAAGGCACTGGAACTCAGGAGATCTGGATTCATACCCCAATTCTGACACAGATTCTTTTATGACCTGGGGCAAGTCACTTAATCTCTCTGTGCGGAGATAATAATTCTGCCTTGTCTAGTTAGTAAAGAATTTTGGGGCAGGAACTGTCTTTTATATAGCACCTAACACAACAGGGCCCTGATCTAAATTACAGCCTCTAAGTGCTACTGTCATATAAATAATAACAACAACCTATGGGGTTAACCCAGAAAGAATTAGGATTATTCTGCCATGTGGTCTTTCAAGGCAGAAAATGGACAAAAGGAATTTTTAAACAAATCCATTTTGCAAAGAGAGCAAAAATGAAGAGAAATCACTCACACTTATAAACAAGCAAAATATTTAGTTCAGCTTTGTCACTTTCTTGATACAGAACTGGGGGTTAAAATGGGGTCATTCTGTAAAAGGTTACAATTGACAATGCAATACATTAGACACTCTCACCGTCAAAATTATTTTCTTTATACTTTTGCTATTTTTATTGGTGGGGAAATGTCACAGGCTAGACAGACTGGAAGCAGTTCAGACTATAATAGAAAAACAAAAACAAAAAACCCAAGAAACCAAGCTTAACTATAAGCTTCTGTAGTAGTGTTTTTATTATTCTGGAAAAATCTAACTATGGAAGAAAAACTAACTGACATTCTAAATCCCCCAAATAAATGAATAACTGGAACTAGATCATGTACAAAGTGGCATTTATTTTTGTTCTTTCTAAATATATTTTACATGTTCACTTTTTAACCCAAATGGCCTAAAGCCATAATACGTATAACATCAATGAAATGCAACTACCTGCAGCATGGAGAGCAAGAAGCTAACTGGTGCATAGAAGTGGTAAAGGAGGGAAAAAATTTTCCAACACACCAGGGCAAACCTTTACTCTTGTGAAAAATATCGAGTCAAAAGAGCGAACAGAATGTTGGGAATCATTAAGAAAAGGATAGATAGTAAGATAGAAAATATCATATTGCCTCTCTATAAATCCATGGTATGCCCATATCTTGAATACTGTGTGCAGATATGGTTGCTCCATCTCAAAAAAGATATATTGGAATTGGAAAAGGTTCAGAAAAGGGCAACAAAAATTATTGGGGTATGGAACGGCTTCCCTATTAGGAGAGATTAATTAGACTTGGACTTTTCAGCTTGGAAAACGGACGACTAAGAGGGGGTATATGATAGAGGTCTATAAAATCATGACTGCCATGGAGAACGTAAATAAAGAAGTGTTATTTATTCCTCATAACACAAGAACTAGGGGTCAGCAAATGAAATTAATAGGCAGCAGGTTTAAAACAAACAAAAGGAAGTATTTTTTCGCACAATGCACAGTCAACCTGTGGAACTCCTTGCCAGAGGATGTTGTGAAGGCCAAGATTATAACAGGGTTCAAAAAAAGAACTAGATGAGTTCATGGAGGATAGGTCCATCAATGACTATTAGCCAGGATGGGCAGGGATGGTGTCCCTAGCCTCTGTTTGCCAGAAGCTGGGAATGGGCAACAGGGGATGCATCACTTGATGATTACCTCTTCTGTTCATTCCCTCTGGGGCATCTGACATTGGCCACTGTCAGAAGATAGGATACTGGGCTAGATGGACCTTTGGTCTGATCCAGTATGGCTGTTCTTATGTTCTTCAGAGATCTTTAATGTCCACCAAGAAACTCAGGTTTATGAGTCTCATCTGGAAAACACGTACCCACACCCACACTTATCTTCATGGCACTCTGTTCTTTATCAAGGTTGACTCAGCCCTTCAGCCTTTAACTACCTTGGAAGGCTAAAAGACTGAATCAGCCTTACTAGTATTTGACCCTACGATTTCAAAGAGTCAAAGTACTGCAAAGCTATGTTTAGACCATTAAGCAATACCTCTCTGGTACAAAGTTTTTGAATTGTGCAGTATGACAAATACAAACTCTATATTTTCTACCATTCTAAGGTTCCCTCTAAACTACAGCACAGTCTACTGCAGGGACAGAATCATTGCAGGCAATGGTTTTAAGCAACAATTTGAGAAATACTTTAGACAGGACAAAAGCATTTTCAATACCATTTCACAAAGCATGATTATGACACAGTTCCACCAAAGCAGTCTTGTCTGGTCTGCACAGGGCCGGCTCCAGGCACCAGCTTGGCAAGCAGGTGCTTGGGCCGGCCACTCCGGAGAGGGGCAGCAGGTCCAGCTATTCGGCGGCAATTCGGCGGACGGTCCCTCACTCCTGCTCGGAGCGAAGGACCTTCCGCTGAATTGTCGCCGCAGATCACGATCGCGGCTTTTTTCTTTTTTTGGCTGCTTGGGGCTGCCAAAACCCTGGAGCCGGCCCTGGGTCTGCACCTGCACATAAATTGTTTTCAATACTAGTTCAGGGGGACAAGTTGCTTAAAACCATTGTCCACAATGGTTCTGTTTCCTACTGCAGACAGAGCTTAGAGGTGAACTATTTAAAAACAAGATTCTTACCAGCAAGGTGATACAATGGTTCTAATATGTCACTGTTTGAAACCACTTTATAAACCACAAAGCATAGAGGCATGCATCTACACTGGATAATTGTCTACTGTTGGTAATAACTGGTAAGTAATTTCTAATGTAGACAAAGATGGGTTGGTAAAGGGTATCTAATGCATCTACTCTGAGATTTATCTGAAAATCTCCCACCATTGCCATATCATTGGCACAGCTCTGTCAACAACAACAGCGGTAGAAGCATTAGTGTAGATTGGCCACCAGCATTTTTACTACCATACATTCACCATACATGGAGAAAGTCTAGATGAAATGATGGCAAAAACACTGGCAACCAGACTACACAAGTACTCCCACCATTGCTAACACCAGAGGAAATATACCTATGCAATGGTGGAAGATTTC